TCTTTTATCTACTACCTATTCATTCGTCTTCAAATTTCATTATCAATAGATGCATGCGGATCAGAGACGTGCACTGGGTAGGACGGTCCTGGTGTCCTGTCCTGTCCTGTCATGTAGGACAGGATGAGATTTAGATTTTGTCCTGCCCTGTCCTGCCGTCTGCCAGGACCAAGGGAGTCAACAGGACAGGAGAAAAAAAGATGTCCTGTGCATGTCGCTGATGCGTATCATTATTACTTAATCTTTTGTTAAAAGTACATAAAATATAATTTGTTTCCTCTAGTATCAAAAGGTTCATACTGACTTTAATACTTTCTGAAAATATGTTATAACAAAGTTTAAAAAAGCGTTGAAAATAACTTTTAAGATTCTGTTAACTTTAATGTGAAATAGAATTTTTCATTATGAAAATTAAATTGTTATTTAATGCAACAACTTTGATGCTAGAGTAAATAATTAAGCGTATTTAATGAGAGAGTTAAAATTTTATTCAAGGTATTATTCATCTGGTTTCTTTTTCTTGGCATGTCATATTGGATTGTTATGAATACCTTTTGCTTGAATTTTATTAATTACTTTCTCAACGATTCTCTGCCAGATGCTTCTTTATTCTATAAATAATGGTGTTATCATTCCGGTATATTGACTTACCTCTCGTTGTCTGTGTGATTGACGTTTGATGCCAATAGTGGTTGTTTCCTTTCGGCGAGTATCTACTACTGATCTAGCAAAAGGTGATGAAATGTCTTCGTATTTTAACGCCCGATCGCATCGAAAGCTTCACACATTGTTCTACAGTTTTAGAAACACATAAAACACGATCGGTCATTTATAACGATCATAAATACTAATCAAAATAATTGTTTTTTTTATAAAATATTGTTTTCAATCTTATATTGAACGGCAAATATATGTCAAAACACTCATTAATATATATCGTTTTCGGTATCCACTAATTATAAAATCTCTTGGCTCCGGAAATAATGGAGAATACTTATCCGTCATGCTACTAACTAACATACTTTTTCTGATTTAATTTATTTCCTAATGACCTACGGCAAAAATATCGAATCATAATCATATTTATGGATAGTTTAAGAAATTTGTAATAGTTCGAACTAAGGTAAATAAGTTAAATTTAACTTTTAATATACAAATAACGTTTTCATATTGTTCTATTCTACAAAAAGGTGCACTTCTATAATCAATTACTATTTCAATAAAAATATATAAAGAGCAATCTTTTCATGATTAGACATGCGTATGAATCGAGACGTTTGCAACAAGAAAACGACTAAAAGCATATAATGGGAAATTATAATGTCTTTTTCAAACTAGACACTCTAAAGTAAAACTTACTTTTTCTAAAGCATTACAAAAAATATTCCTAGTCTTTAGACTATATTTGAGTAATAGAGAACTGAAAGAAAGCTATGTCTGCATCTCTTCGTAGAGCAGCAAAATAAAATTTTCATTCATTTATTTTATCAATGAACGTGCTTAAAAACCATAATTATTCTCAATCAAATCATAGAATATATTTTATTTTTTAAAATGTTTACTTATTTCCTGCCAAATGTGTATCAAATGAGTCCAACATTCAGAAAAAAGAATATGTGCATTGGATGCGTCAAAAGCCGATTGTAACAGCAATACCAGAGATATCTGATACGGCTGGAGATTGGTTAGAAGCAAGCCACAATGAACTACAAGCAAAGGCTGCCATCACAGAAAACATCTTTGAGCAATACTTACAATTGAATATTAATTAACGACTTGACACGTGATTCTAGAAATCACCTGTCAGAAAGAAAATTGCAGATCTGCGATCTGACCTAGCTGACTGATTATGTTCCTGATGATAGAGATAACTTTCCGTTTTTTTGTTTATGTAACAGCAGCTTATTAACACACGTAAAATCTAGCATCATATTTTTCAACACGGAATTTGGCATTTTTGTGCAGACACTTCTATCAATAGTCAATCACAAAAAAGAAACAGAAATAGCTCCGAAAACTCAAGGATTGAAATAAATAATTAGAAAAATAAAGAAAACCTACGAACACGAGGAATCTGCATCAGGCCGAAGGAACCCCAAAGATGTCCTTTATCGGTGACAGAACTGTGAGTTTTTCTCTTTTAAATGAATTTTAAGAAACTTTGGTCGATGAACGAAACCTTGCAAGTGTCTTCTATGATCTGGCAAAACATGAGTTCATTTGGTCTTAGTTCAGTGAAGACATACGTCAAGAAACAAATCTGAAACAAGAGTTCGTCGGTTTTCTGGAAGGTCACATTAAAGCCGATTGGATTGTTATTGAAATAATTCTTCCGGGCCAAGTTTTCGTATGGTTAGGTGATTAATGGAATAGGTTGTATATCGATACTTCCAGAACAAGGATTATGTTTATTAAATATTTATCCTGCTCTTGTTATGGTTTTTTGCACATTTATGCTTGCACGAATGATTTCTACACTGGAAATTTGGATTTTTTTAGTAACAAAGAAAGATTTTGTAACCTTTAACTTCAGATTGATTGACTGTTAAAACTTCAAACTTTTATCTCTAGCATAGATTCATGTTAGTCAATGATAACAATTATAAAAAAAAAACACTAAATTGCGTATAATTATGATTCAAAATTTATAAGAGGAAATTTTAGGTATTCATCAAAAAAAGAGTATGTTTATCAGAAGTTAATATTAGAAGTCTTTCTCTATTCGATATACATTTTCTTGGTCAATCTTGCGTGTTACATCGGAGAATCAAATCTTTCTGATTCATCCAAATTGAGACATATTGTTCGGTATTTTTGACAATATTCTTCGTAGCAGTCGCTTTGTCCTAAAAACGATATTAATTTTTTCATTTTCATATCAGTCATAATGCAAAATAAATTAACGGATAATAGATCTACTGCTTCTTTCGTTGTGTTTTACCAAATATCGATTACAATAGTGCACTTTCTCACGTAAAAGTTTCACAGCTAATTTATATGTAGCTGTATTTTTCTAAACATCATAGTCTATGAAAGTAGACGAATCATGAAATTCAAGAGAGCAACTTTCTAGGATGATTCTCTTTTTATTTTCTGAAAGATCTTCATTTCTATCTTTAGTAACGCTTTATTAACTATTTATGCGACGTTGTATCCGACATAAAAGATGGTTGTTTACCGAAGAAGATCCATGTCATAAAATATTGACGATGTCCTATATTTATTCAGGTAGTTTCATATTGTTGTCTTAGTAGGAAATTTTAGAAAAGAGAATATAAACTCTAACCCCTTCTCATTCGAAAATATATTTATTGATGAGATTTCAAGAGAACACTCGCCTCAGCCATGCATTTACTACACTCACGAAATTTTCATTGTACTTCGTCTTAACGCAGCATTTGACTTTTCCCTGCTAGTAAACAATTCACATTTCAAAAAACTATAGAAAATATCGATGTTAAATGTATTGGCTTTTGTTTTTATATATAATTAACGACTTTATTTTTCGAAGATACAATATAGAATGACCGGCATGTAGAACTGTTAATTTCACATTGTATATCACCAATGAAATTAACAGTAAGACTGTGTTAAAATGAATTCGACTAAAAGCATTCAAAATAATTGTAGCAATGAAATATGTCAACGCTTCTGTAGCTAAAATCTCATAAAAGCATAGTTTATTTTTTTGAGCAATGAATACAAATTTTCTTTTTATAAATCATTTGAATAGAATATTCTTTAAACTTTTTAGTAACACTTACAGACGACATGCTTATTATTCTCCTTAATTATGGTTTAATTCTCAGGTATTATTATTATTATTATTATTAGTTAACAGCATAAAAAATGATCGAATGACAAACGCTCGAATTGTAACTTCAGCATCTAATTTTAAACAAAATTGAGAAGCATGTATTTGCCAATGTATTACATTTAGTTCATCATCATCATCATCAGTGTGTTGTTCTGTCAATTGCTTTAACAAAAATGATACATGTCAAACGTTTATTTCTGCAACAGCAAAAAATTCTACAATTGTCATTGATGAATTCAGTACTATTTATTTTTCGAATTATTCAGTTTGTATGACAGCATAGTAATTTTCTTACTTGTCAAGTTTGTAAGTGCCGATGATATTAAATTCGTTCATAGTTGTCTTTTACTCATATATTGAACTTAGTTGTTTTTGTGCCTAGTCATCCTCGAAATGTAGCTAACGATTAAATTTATGATTTTTCTATTCTGTATTGAAGGCTGAAAGCATTTTCTTGCAAATGTTACACTTTATTCTATACGTCTCTGTAATTTTAGTCTTTTTAATTTTAATAAGCAAAAATGTTGACAGCCCTGTGAATATTCATTAATTAAACTGTTATTACCTTCGGATTATAACCGAGACTTATTAATAAGAAACGAGTCATTCAAACTCTAAAGTTTAATTTAATATGATGAAAATTTAATATCAATTCTATAATTAGAAAAGGTCGCATAGGAATATTTTGCTGATAAAACTTGCGAAGAGCTTTGTCTTGATGAAAATCTATTATTCATCAGGACATACTTTTCTTTGATAGTCAGATTTTCCTCCTGCATAGGCAATGGAAATTCAATAGCGACTGAAATGGTATCCAAAGTACTAAAATGAAAAAAAATGTATTATCAAAGCAGTTACAAAGATGCTCGGTTATTTTATATCACAGGCTAAAGTTTCCAATTTGTTTTGCGATGACTATCTCACAATATTAGACATCTAATTATAATATTTGTTGTACTATATGATTTTAAAAAAATGTTTTCTAATTAAATAATTTAATGCTTATAAAAAAGAGAACAAAAAAAAAGAAATCAGTAATTGATTGATAACAGCAGACGTATGCGCACAATTTGATACGCAGACACACAGTCACAAGAAAAAAGTCGATATTGTTTCTGGAATTTCTTTTCCGTATAAAATAAAAAAAATACAAGTATGAACAAAGTAAAGGTGATAATAAAAATCATGTTTTTTGACGTTTCACACTCTCATCAATCGATGTAATAAGACCATATAATAATTCTTCTATCTGTTGTTCATTTCTAAAACAAGAAAAAAATCGTATCGGTCAGAAAAATAAAATCTTCTATTTCGTAAATCTTACTGGAAATCGTCATCATCATCATCCTCGCGTTTTCGTTTATTATCTTCTGTTTGACGAATAGGAGATATGGCTTCGATTATTGGTCCAACTAAAGGACTGGTCATTGGTGACAATGGTGTCGATGGATTACTTGTTTGAATATCAGCTAGTAAGAAATCAGTTTGATCATTTTGATACTGTGTTGTTGGTGAATGTCCATCGTCGGATTTATTTAAATTAGTATCATTGTGTAAAGAACTCAGTGACATGGAATTTCTACGTTGTTTTCGATGACGAAATGCATGATCGATTAATTTTTCTTCACATGTTTCATCCAAGCGCCAAAAACTACCTTTACCAGTTTCATTTTCTTTACGCGCAAGTCGAATAAAATAACGATTTAAACTCAGATTATGTCGAATAGAATTCTAAAAATGAAATAAATTTGGCTTTGGGTTTGTTCGCAAATACGTATGAAAAAAAACGCGAAACTTACTTGCCAACCACGATTATTTGCTTCATAGTATGGATACTGAGCTGATATAAAACTATATATTTGACTTAATGTCATTTGCTTGTCCGGTGCCGATAAAATAGCTTGAACAATTAATTGAGCATATGAAAATGGTGGTTTGGTACTATTTTTTGAATTCATATTATCTTGATCTTGATGATTATTATCAATTCCGGGTGCTGGAAGACGTTGAATTATTGGAGAACTGAATTTTCAGAAAAACAAATTGACGTGAGAAAAACCAGTTATCAAAAGATTTATTTTCAATTACCTAACTAATGTTTGATTTTCGGTTATATCACTGTTAGGAAGTCTTGGGCTTGTTGAACATGAATGTATTGCAGAACTGAAATTATAGGAAAAGGAGAGGAAAGGTTTCTTTTTGTTAAATGATTCTGATTGAAAAAATGAAATAAAAGTTACCTTAATAGAGAAGTATTTGCCGTTATATTGATAGCAGCCGGACTTTCATATTGTATTTTTATTTGTCCATTATTGCGGCCATTTGATATTGAATTTATTGGTGATGATGAATTTGGTATGTTAAGACTTATTGGTAGAAGACTATTATTCAATTCATGATTAGTATTAGCGTGATTCACTGTTCGATGTGGATGCTGATTAACTGCTACAAGAATAACTTGTTGTTGTTGTGGTGTAACATTGGGAATAGATTGAAGAAGTAATGAAGATGTTGCAGACGGATTATTTGTATCAATTGAAACTGATGATGAACGTTGTTGCTGTTGTGAAGTGTCAGTCGATACATGACGCGAAACACTTCCAGGAGAAGTTCGAGCAGCTGCATTAGTATTATTAGTAGTAATAAGATTATTATTAATTAATGATGAAAATGTAATGCATATGTCAGTACTTGGAAAACGAAGCGTACATCTATTACATAAGAAAAAGATAAAAGAAATAATAGAATAAAACAAATTAATCATCGTACTGTTTAGGTAAGACTGTTATTGAAGATACTTTTGAATAATTATTATTAACGAAAATACCATTTTTACTGCGACATTTCAATTGAAAATCAGTACCATTAACCAGTATTAATTCAAAATGAACACGAGAAACAACCGATGTTGAACCTAAGAATAAACTTTAATTAATTTGATTCATTTAACCTAAAAATATCCTACCCATATTAACATCCACTTCGTTGTGATTAGTTTTTTTGCCAATAATTGTTTTCTCTTGCCAAACATCATAGACACCGAAATTATTTGATTCAAGTCGAGCATATGGTAAATGAACCTGATCATTTCCATTTATATTTATATTTGTTGTTGTTGCTGTAGTCGTTGTTGTACTTGACATATTGTAAAGTAGTAAAATTTTCAAGATTGAGTTTTTGGGTAAATATTTAAATGATGAAAAAACTTCAATTTTAGATACTGTTCATAGAAGAAGAAGAAATATGACGATTGATAACGGAAATTGATTGATAAAGAGTAAATACCGACTAATGCCGTTTGTGTAGAATAGTTACCATACAAGCATGTGGCTGACACATTGGCACGCGAGAAAAAAATGGAGAATAGAGGTAAGGGGGGAATAATAGTGATGCTAGTGGTGAAGCGGTGGCAACCAAATGCTTTCTCGCGTTCTCTTTCACTCTTAGATTGATCGTCAATGCAGTCAAAAGAAGAAAGAGAAGAAGAAGAAGGAAAAAAAGAAAGAAAAAAAAGAAAAAAAACGAAGACGACGATGATGTTGATGATGATGGTACGCTATAGCCGCGTGTTGAGAACAACGGTGAGAATGTCGACGACGAAGCACTGTCGGCGCTCGATGATGTTGTTGACACACAGCACGTTCTTTCTATCTCATGACATGTTGATGTTGCATACAACCGTTCGGTCGTTGGCGTTAAAAAAAAGAGATATGAAAGGAAGAAAAAAAAAGAAAAAATAAGTTTTTTTTCCGTTCTGTCCTTTTTTTCCGATTCTTTGTCGTAGTTGTGTCTAAGTTAAATCATACACAGTTAACAACTAGAAAAAATAATAATAACAAAAAAGAAAAGAAACTCCATTAAATTTTATCGCTCGTTTGATTCGATGATAAGAATAAAACAGAAAAAAAAGAGTGAATGGGTTAAAAATCACTGTAAATTTTTGTTGAATAAAATATTTACAAAAATACACTTGTTTTGAATAATTAATTCGTTTATTTGTAAATCGATCTAGTTTATTAAAGACTTACCTTAGTCCTATTTCAAACGGAAAGAATAGGAGTAACATTGAATTTTTTCAGTTCCTTGCTTCATCTTTTCGTTTCCTGTATTACCCATTAGTATTACGCAATTATCTTGCTCAATCTCAAATAAAAAGCAACATATATAGCAACACACATAGAGTAAGACTCGATGAGCCGCGATCTCGGTTCTAATCATTGTATTGAGACTAAAGCAACTACTTCCTGACTGCCTTATGCGTGGCAACACGATTGAGGCAGTCAAGGATCGAGATCAAATCGACACTCGTCACTTTTTTTCTTCTTTGTTCCAGCGAAGTGTCTTGAATTGGCAAAAGCTCTTTGATGAAAATGTCTTATTTCAAATCTAGGTAAGCAGAGCTGCGTAAAATAATCTTGGTGTAGTATAAAAAAAATTAGCACTTTTTTAATTGATTATTCAAAAGCACGCCAAGCTCGTGATAGTATGAATAGACATGTTTGTATTCTAATTCACTCGTATGAAAGTTTTCTATGTAACAAAATGAAAAACAATTCATTTATCAGGTTTCCGATCAAATATAACAATCGATAGGGAAACTGTTCCACTTTAAGCAGAAACGGATCACCCACAAAAAATTACGGATATCAAGGAGAAATGGAAAAAAAGAATTCGTATCTCCTAGTATCTTCTCAATTTATTCTTGAAAGGGGGAAAATGGTTCAACCATTTCTTCTTAAAATATTACTATTTCTGCTGGAATAGAACAATTTCTGGTTGAGTTTTGTCTGAGAGTCGACAAGGAGATGAACTATGTCTCGCTGTTTTTGGTGAAGTTCTGCTTAGAAAGGAATGTGTTTCTGATGGAGTGTTTCCTCTTGACTTTTTGTGAGTAAACGATTTCTGCTATAAATGGAAGAGTTTCTCGATTTTGTGGGATGTTGCCCAGCCCTCATGTTGTTTCATATAAAATTTAAGTGGTAGATGTCACTACTATCGATTCCCAGGTCCAAGAAAACGGTCCGTAAAACGAGCTGACCGAGTACGGCGAAATAAGGTGAGAATTAACGCCTTATTATACCATTTTATGGCCGTTTCAGGCCTGTTAAGATGACCGTTCCGGCGATCGGAATGATTGTCCTGGGCGATATCAAACACAAAATTCGTGTAAAATATAACTCGCAAAATTTCTACATATATGTTTCATTCTGTTTCTTGTTATTCGGAAGAAAAATTCTTTCTATCAACTAGTTTATCAAAAAGCGCATTACTAATCCATTTTCTATTAGGCATTAAAATCTATGACAGAGTGATCCAGACTCTTTGTATTGTTTCTAACGTACTAAATAATTACTTGAGTGCTCAGCATAATTTTAGAGTAAATATTAATGTTATAATTATTTGAGAAAATTCATGTAAGTAGTTTCAAACTTGAGAGTACTCTTGTCACATCAGTGTTTATTATCAAGTTTTTATTCACCAACTAAAGCGCAAGTTTGTTTTTCTGTAAAAATAAATCGCTTTAAAACTAAAGTGTTTTTCATAGTATCCTCATTTACAAGGCTACGACGAACATGTGCATTTTATTTTTTACAAATCACGATAATTATCCACGGTACTCGTGCAATCAATAGTTGTATTTGATTTAGTAGATTATTTGATGCATTTGATTTGCTATCATATGTGCATATTGAATCAAACACGTGTTACACGAAAATCGAATAATATTCTGCGTGAAAAATAGTAATACTCTTTCTCAATAACAAAGCGTCTAATGTAATAGAGTCGCACATGTTATGCGTTAATTAAGTAATTAATTGTTATTTATTTAAGCAGAAAGTAAAAACTTGATGGTTGGCATAAGATGCGATTGTGTTTTCAATTCGAAAGATCATCATATAATAATTTTATATTATTGAAATCATAGGATCAAGTAATTTCTTGCCTATGATAGAATACGGATTCTTTGATACATTAATTCATTATAGCATTGAAATATGCATGATTAATGACGTGTATTTTGCATCAAAGAAAAATAGCTTTACCATTGAACATGTTGTGCTTTGTTATCTGCTGACGTATAAGGAATGATACACATATCTTGTTATTCACTAAAACATTATCGTTCGCCATCTGTCAAAGAAAAGTAGGAAATATTTGATCAATCATCAATCGCGTAGATTTGTTAATCAAAATGATTTCAAGGATAAGAAACTTATTACTGTTAAAGATTCAGTAATTTCTATGAACATACATGTGTCCAGTATTTCAAGTGTCACCACAGAATAAATTACATGCTAGTAGGCCTTAATACTTCTCTGTACGCTTTCCTCTTGATGAATGAAAACAAAAATGATAAGCAGTATTGTGATAAGGCTTAAATATAAAGCACGATGTAGTTGTTATTACTAAAACACTAGTCAATTGTGTTCTTCTACCTAATGTAGAAGACATTTCATTGCCATCTACGTACTTATTTATCAAGAAATGTAATAAGGAAGTAACTCATCTCTAATAATGCGATGCTGTCAACATATGATCTACGATCCTTTATCAACAACGTTTGAGATAATCTGTGACTCGGGGCTAACTACTGTGCTTATGAGTTTCCTCCCATACGTATGTTGGTTACATCAGGGCATGAATTGGAATGCAACACGACTTGATTGAAGATACTATTTTGAGGTGGTACGTGATAAAATCGATGAGGAAAAAGTGTAATCTACATGCACGAAAAATAGTTACACACTCAAAGTATGAGACAAGAATGCGTTCAACAGAGAACGAATATTTGTATGTTAAATAAAGACTTAATGGAATGAGTATCAGTGCAGAAATAGAAGCGGAAAATGATAAGTTAATTATAATAATAAAAGATAGAGAATGCTAACTAATAACCAAATGATTGGGTACCGATCGATCATTGGATAATTGTGAGAAACAATATGGATGACACAGGTTAATAATAAAGATGATTTTTTTCTATATCAGCTAGTAATGAAAATCATAAGAAATACTAATGTTTTAGTTTCGATGCAAAGACTCTTGTGAATTATATCATAGAGTTCCAATCTTTTGATCTTCAATACGAAATCTTTTTCAAGACTCAACATTTTTCTTTGGGAGTTTTTGATATTCAAACATAGAATCTAGTATTGTCCAAAGACAAGAACCTTGAGGATAATCATTATCCACTAAATTAACCAGAAAATAAGTGTTTGCTATTTTTTCAATGATTGCATGTGAACGGGATTCTGGTTCATAGAGTTTACCCCAACGTTCAGTCCACAAACTGAAAGCTTCATCCTATAAATAAGAAAATAATTTCATTTCGAAATAAATCTTTTTTTTCTGTCCAAAATCATTACCTTCCAAATCATAAAACTAACAGGATCAACAACTGTTGGTTGAACGATTTCTTTGCCCGCAAAAACACCCCATGTTACTGCAATTGGTTGTTCATCATCTGTATTTGTTTCATTAGCTTCACCCTAGAAAAATTCATACTAATTAGAAAAGAGAACAATAATCAAATAGGCTCTTACTGATTTATTCACAAAATGATAATTAACACCGGGAAACGTTTTTAGAACAGAACGTAATGCTGGAATATTTTCTGCGCTTGTAAAGAATTCCAAATAAGCCTAAGGATTTAAACAAAAATTATACATAAAATAAGAAGAAAAAAAAAAACTTCTTACCTTTTGATAAACGTAACCATTAGGTGTACCCCAGCCAACAACTGGATCAGAACTTGATTTTCCATTAACAGCTGGTTGAGAATTAATTGTTAAAATTCCTCGTTTATTGAATTCAACTAAATTTTTTTGAATTAATGTTGTCTCTGCTGATAATTCTTCGTCTGTCCATGGAAAACGACGAACAACTTTATCTATACTATTTTTCTCTCCACCAATGTAGCAGGCAAACATTTTCCAGACATCTTGTTCACAAGTTAATTCACGTCCCCATTCATCAAGTAATTCATCACGTGTTGCATCAATTTTCATATAGAATAAATGGTAATCAGTTAATACACCGAATGACGGTGCCGACGATATACCCCAACGTCCATTTGGAAATTCGTTCCAATTCGAAGTACGATGAACATATGATTTTGGTCTTATACTCCAAAATATTGGTCGAACATTTTCTTGTGAACGTGCGTGACTAAATGAAGTTTTTTTCCAAGGTAGTGCACGCAATGATTGTTCGTCTAACCAAAGGCCAAGTTTTTTTAATATTTCAATCGTTGCAAATTCTCGATTTAATGTGTAAAAATGAAGACCATTAACTTTACCAGAATCTAATAGAGCGCAACATAAATCTAGACATGCTTGAACACCAAAATTACGTATGGCTTCATCGTTATCTTTTATTGGTTCAATACAAGCGAGAATTTCTTTAGGTACATCAAGTTTAGCCAATCGAACAATATTGCGAAGACTGGCATAGCCCTAAGAATGATTTGTGTTTTTCAATTTTCAAGTTAAAAATAACAGAATTCTAAACGCTCTTACTTGAATAGGTAATATTCCAGGAATAATAGGACATTTTATTCCAATAGAACGACAATCAGATTCAAATTTAATGAACGTTTCCGCTTGAAAGAAAAGTTGTGTTATAATAAAATCTGCACCACAATCGATTTTCTCTTTTAAATAATCTAGATCATCTTCATAAGATGTCGAATCGGGATGTCCTTGTGGGTAACCTGAGTTGAAACAAAAAGCATCAGTAAAGGTTCAATGATTCGAGGAAAAAACATGTCATCTTACCAGCAACACAAATTACGAAATAGTCTCCGAAATGCTGTCGAATAAATTTAACTAAATCAAGTGCATATCGAAAATCACTCTTTGCTGGATTCCATTCTTCACCTACATGCGGATCTAAACGAAACTAGTGCGTTAGATATGATTAACATATTTCAAGAAAATCTACCTCCTCGTAATGCTAATAAACTTCTAATTCCACAATCTTTTGCTTTATAGAGATATTCAAGCATAGCTGCCTTCTTAGCACCATAGCATGTTATATGTAGCATCGTATCGATTCCACAATAATTTAACATTGTATTTGCTATCATCATTGAACTTGTTTCTTTATCACCAGCTGGATCACCTGCTGGATGCCATGTTATATCACAAAATAATGGTCGACCGGCTGCCATTCGATCAAAACTGAATTTTTAATAATGAGAAAAACAAAAAACACACTTCTTCAGTAGAACAAAATCTTTACCATCCGATAAGATTGGCAGCACCACTTGGTGTTCTTGGTGGAAAAAATTCGAGTGAAAACCACCGATCATTATCAGCAATGCGTTTGGAAATTTTTTCAGTTAAACTTACATATTTAGCAGATTGAAGAGAACAAATTTTCCCAGCTATATTAGCACCTTCACTTTCAATGCGCTTAACTCTATTTAAGTTGTGTATTGATTCAAGATGAGTTTCATGAGCATGCATTTTGCAATCACCAGGGACAGTCTGATTGTCACCAAGTGTAAATTCCATTTATGTTTGAAATTAACGTACCTATATATATTCGTATGAAACGTTTTCCTCTGGATATTTAAGTAACAATAGAAATATTGCCCTCAATTTGTTCTTATATATATATATATATATATTTGGTCGTGTTATCAATAGACTTCAAACAGGTGTTTATAGTAATATTCTGAAGAAAGAGAAAAAATAATGTTTTCAACAGAATGATGATAAATAAATAAAAAAGCAATATAGTTGAAAACAAAATAGTTTGGCGTTTTTCGCACGCTTCGTTGAAACTTCACTGTCTTGTATTACGATTGTATAATAAATTAGAACGAAAATATGTGACCTCGCTGTTTACGAAAAGAAAAGAAAAGAGAACGAAAAACCAACTCTAAGTGGATACGAAATTTATCCATTGAAACAGTTGAATGCCTTTCAATGGAGGTCGCCATGAAACATTCTATTAATTTAAATCCGATGTGTTGAACAATAATCTTCTATTTCGGTTCATATAATTCAGTAATATTCATTCTACAAACAACTGTTTTAAAAACCCCAAAAAAAGGAAATTTATTTTTTACTAAAAATTGACAAGTACATGAATAAGTCAACATATCATACACTTGAAAGTTTATATGCGGTGAGAAGGAGAAAAAGAAGGTGACAAATACAAAAGCACTTTCATGTTCTATATAGATAAGAATTGAAAAGAAAAAACAGTGTTGATTCGACAAAAGGAATTAATAGATTAATCTTTCAAGACAAATAATATCTAGTAGCAAATGAGATGTGTAACTTAGTAAGTATTTATTGCTCATATAAATTCGAGCATAAAGAAAAATATTCGACTTCAAGTTTTTATTTAACAATAGTTTTTTTTAGAGAAAACATAAAACTTAACTTTGCAAATGTTCGAGAGAACAATGAAAACAAATGAAATTGTGTTGTTGTTCTGTCTTTCTCGCAGAAAAAGATTCTTTCATTTTCCGTTGACACGACTTTACTTCTATCTTTCGTTGAATGATGGAGAAACTTTACAAATAATAAAAATTTCACATAGTTTTCTTCGTCTCATAGATTAATACGAAGAAAAATGGCCAACAACATATCAAATAGTTCAACGTCAAAAACTGAAGATTCAGAACACATTGAAAGTAACAATACAAGATCAATTCGTCTCGTAGAAAATTTTTTAGTTATTTGGCTTGATTCAAATATAAACGAAACGTCTGATGAATATCATCACGCAACTAATCAACTTCAACATTATGTAAATACAATTCAATTAGCTTCTGATCAAACCGAGTATATCGATTTGATAAAGAATACTAAAGATGTAAAAGTATTCATAATTGTTTCGGGTACTTTTGGCATAGATTTAGCTGATGTTATGCAAGTAACACCTCAAATCTATTGTGTCTATGTTTATTGTGCTGAAAAGAAACATCATGAAGAATGGGCGAAACATCATCAAATAATAAAAGGTGTCTTTACTGATATAGAAACTATTTGTGATGCTCTTCGACGTGACGTTCGTCGAGTAAATAACGATTTGATACCAATAAGTATTTTGCAATCGACAAGTTCAGATCAGTTCGATCAATTATTTGCCTGCTCATTGATACTGAAAGAATTTCTAATCAATAGCGCATGTGAGCAACAGACAAAGAACAATTTTATGAAATTTTGCCGTTCTCAACATAGAGGTAACTCTTATCAATCTAATATAATTAAGAAATATCAAGCAAAACCTAAAAAATTAACACCGATTCAATGGTATACTCGAGAATGTTTTTTATATTCGATGTTAAATCGAGCATTGAGATTATATGATATAGAAATTCTGACTCAAATTAAGTTTTTTGTTCAAGAAGTGAACGAACAAATTCAAAAAATATATTCCCAATCAGATCAACAACACCCTCAGACTGTTTATCATGGACAAAATATTACGAATGATCTACTTTCAAAATTACAAAAAAATAAAAAAAGTTTAATTTCTTTCAATACATTTTTAATGGCGAATATGGATGAAAATTTAACACTAGATTTGCTTCAACAATCTCAAAATGATCCTAATTTAATAGCTGTTCTTTTCAAAATAGCTGTAGATCGATCGAAATCGTCATATCCATTTATTATATTAGATGAATTCGATTATTATCAAGATTCAGATCGATATGTACTTTTTTCACTGAATACAACATTTCAAATTGAGAATATTGAACAAATAAATGAGCAACTATGGGAAGTCAGATTAATTTTAGTTAAAGACACTAATAAAAAATTAAATACTATCAAGGAATGGATTGAAACAAAGTTTCGTGAATTAGATTCAATTCTTAGATTCGGTAAAATAATGATTGATATTGGTAAAACAGATAAAGCCGAAGAATTTTATAAATTTTTACTTGAAAATTCAGATGAAGAGGATAAAGATGCGCTTGCTTATATTCATCGTAAACTCGGCTTCATCAAAGATCAAAAGAACGAACTGGATGCTGCATATACTCATTATATGGAAAGTTATAGAATTCGATTAGATAGCGTTCTCGAGGATGATCCTCGTCTTTGCAAGATTTATGCTGGTATTGGTGCAGTTCAACGAAAACAAGGTCGTCATGATCGTGCTTTGGGATATTTCAATAAGGTTCTTGATATTCATAAAAATATTTCAAAGCCAAATCCATCAGTTCTAGCTTTTTGTTTATATAATATTGGTTTAATATTTTATCAACAAAAAAAATATGAGAAAGCACGAAAGAATTTTGAAAAAGCACTAAGAAATCAAAACGATGTGCTGTCATGTAATCGTGATTTGTTGACTAATATCCATAGTAGTCTATCGATGGTGTTTAATGATCTTGGTGAATATCAGAAGGCTATGGAACATGCTCAACAAGCGTTAGAAATCGCTACTAGTATTATTGAATCTAATAATGAACGAATAGAAATCTATCAAAAGTCAATCAATCAACTCAAGGAAAAGATTAGCGAACAATAAACTTTCGCATACTATAGATTGAATAACATACTGAAAAATCTATCCACGATTTGTAAGGAATGCACGTGTAAATAGTAAAATAAAATTTAACTATTAGTATTTATTGTTTGTTCTTTCGAAAAGATAAAAGGTGATGACTTCACCGTGTCGGTGATCTAACGGCTCGCACTAGCTGACAAATAGAATTCAATGTGAATACGTATAGAATCTTACTAATAAGTTTTTGCAAAACATAGACAAGATATTAAAAGCGAGAAAGTTGCTTAGCAGGAAAAGGTCAGTCGTTTTTAGAACGATTTTAATGTTCAATACACCGTTCTATCGTATCAATTGAGTACTGTAAGTGTGATTCTGAAGTATTTTAATGATATATAGACCCATTCATCATTAAAATCACTTTCTACTATTCGCGATATTCAATGCAAATCTTTCCGAAGTTAAAATCGTATTTTTCATTAATAATTCCTTTAGAAAAAATGAAAAACTTTACTGATAGACAACTGTGATAGCTCATAACAATCGAGTTCAATCAAATCCAACATTCTGTGTCCTTTCGTTAAAATTACACTTTTCAATACAGTCCAGTTTCAATATGAATCATTATTATTACACGATGATTTTCACCAGAATTATATTTTCTAAATATCACGTTCTCAGAAGGACAGTAGAGATCGAATTTATTTGATTAAAGCGTTTTTTTAATTTAGAGTTAATAAACCATAAAAGAAATGATTTCATCCCGTAGCGAAATTCTTTGAAATAAGTCACTGTTTTGCAATTTTTTACTTGAAATATTAATGAGACCATGTTCGATGACGAAGTAATCTTTTCGATTGGTAAGTATGATTATACATCCTATCATTTTCCAACGCCAACCATAAACTGCTAGAGGACTGTTTTGTAATGCATTGGTAACACATGTTGGTCTTTTCTAGAAGGTTCTTGAATTTTTTTATTATGATGAATATTCCTTACGAATAATAAGACAAGGAATGTAAATAATTTTGTTTGCGTAGGATACGCATGCATTTGCAGCAGACTTTTCGCTTGAAATGAGTAAACCATGACACATCCGATTTTATTTCAAAGGAAAAATATCGCAAATTTTTTTTTTGGAGGAAAGCAATGACACATTTTTTTCTTTCTTCCTCTATCGAACTGATGAAGTCCACCTCAGCATTGCAACATTCAACTGATGATGTGCAAGGTCTGGCGAAATATGGCATCAGAATTCACACGCACGTCTAAATAGTTTCATAAATATCGACGTTGCAACTTCATAGTGCTAACATATAGTTTTTAAACAGCTGTAAAGCACATAGTAATTACGTTTCATTCAGCACAATGTCTTCATCATCAAAATCATCTCAACAATCTCTAAACACATTGCCCTTTTCATCCAATGGCCAACAGACAACCCGATTCGTTATCGTCTCAAAAGTTTCGTTGGGTTACGATGAAAAAACATTATTGCACAGCTTAGGACATACTTATGTAGGTGTCGAACGCGTGTCTCGACTTTATGATCAAGATGAAAACCCGACTGATGAAATCCGAGTCGATTTCAAAACAGACAAAGAAACTATGAAGATTCTTCAGGCACAGTATATTTTTATCGATGGAAAAAAGTATCCCGCTCACAAATATCAGCCACTGGTCTGCCATCGATGTCAAAAAGAAGGACACTACGCTTCTCAATGTCCTCGAAAACCTTTAACAGAAGAGAGGTTTCATGAATTGTTAGAAATGCAAAAGAAGTAAGTCGGTCACAAATAAAAACACGTGATCTATCTCTAGTTCTACTTTCTTTAGGCAATTGCAAAACATGATGGATAGTTTTGAAGCAAAATGGAATGCACGTTTATCGGAATTGAATGGTTCTTCGACAGGCACCAATCTACAATCAATAGTACCGATTTGTAAAGATCTTACTACATTTTGTCAACAATTTAATCAGCAAAATATTCAAATGCAACGACAACTCGGATCGATTGTCAACCGAGTGCAAAATATGCAAACTAATTCGAATATTCAACCAGTCCAGTCAAAATAAGCAAGACCAAAGAAACATTTTCAGTCCAGATATATTTAACTTGTATAGAATCCTTGAATCTATATGTTCGTTTAATAAAAAATATGAGTTTGTCTTTGATAATAGACGGAGAAACAAAGCTGTGTATCAATAATTTGCACTTTGGTCGGCAAATTCCAATAGTATAGAATGACGTGGCATTGGAAGAAAATGAATACTCTTCCAACGAATGTAACGTCAGCTAACTTTTATATTTAAAAAAATTCTACATTTATTTATAGCCAATAAATTTCTTGGTAGTTTTATAATAGCGAAAAGCCCCTGTGGATGATAATTATGAGACTAATATAAAGACTAACATGCCCTGAGAAGAGAACGAATCTTTAAAATCCTCAGGTTTAATTGCTTTCAGCGATGGCGATCTTTTAAAAGAAATCTATTCCGATAACTCGCAAAGAATGATATCATGGCTAGAAAAAAAAATTGTCTTCAGAAAACAAATAGCCGCGAAATTAATATCAGTGTTGCAATGTTATTACAACTCAGACGGTAATTCGAATATCATCATCAGACGTTTCTAATATTTACCCGCTGGTTAGGTTCGAACGTAGGACATCATTCCAACTGCGCTTTTCTCTCTACGGCTGAACCCATTCAATCGAAAGTTTCAATACTTCTTCTCGTAAAAGTTTTATTCGATTTTATACTGATATATCAATAACATCTTGTTCCGCGGCTATGTCACGAAAAAGTACATTAAAAACTTGATTATAAAAATTTGGATAGAAAGTACAAGCACGATAACAATCTGGTGTAAAATTAATTTCTAATAATTTCGGTTGTACTTTATTGTCTATCATTTCGAGCATCAAATCAGCAGCATATAGAGCTCTTGACGATGAACAAGAAGCAATACCGAATGGTGGTTCTTCGATAGATGCACATTGAAATATCTCTCTGAACATTTGAAATATTCGTTGTTCAACAATAGACCATTGTTCATTGTGACCATATTGTTCATTGTACATAGACGTAAATATGTGACAATTCATTTGCCGTAAAAATGCATTCGGTCGATAGTTCATCACTGTAAAATGTGTTTCATAATCGTCTAATTCCTTTAGTGAAAATGGTTTATTTGCAAAACGAAGCCAAAAAATTTTATGAACGTATAATTTCAATGGTCGTAAACTTCGTAAAAGAATAACATAACGTACATCGAATTTTATGCTTTGATTTTCCATTTCAGGTATTTTCAATAGAACAGGTGATGATACATATTTACATGCAATTTTCGGTCCTGATTCCGGTAAACGTATGATCATATCAAATGAATTTGTGACGGACATATCAATGGAACGTGTTAAATTTATTGGTTTGACTATCCATGTATTATCAAGCTGTTGATCTTCACGATACTAATCAGCAAAAAATAGACATACAAAGATGAAATCTGGTGGACAATTAAAAATTAATACTTGAAAGTAAACAGCAAATTGTGATAGTTCATATGTGAGATTAAATGTTGTTGCTAACCATGGAGGACTTCCATGTGAATCAATATATGGATCATTGTCAGATGTTGATGAGCTAGAAGAAATTTCGAAGTACAATATTGAATGATGCCTCGAGTCGGAATGAAGAATATTGCTCTAGGTCAAAAAGCTTAGCTAATTTCAATGAAAACTAGATTCATATTAATAGAATTTTCTCGCATAGATAACGCAAACATTGATAAATTCAAAAACATACCCATTCAACGATTTCCATCGTCTTGCAGTAAGTGCCAATAATTCTTTATTTGTAATGATGTTTTCCAATGGAAATTGATTGATTAATTTATTCTCTATGGTTTCATGACGAAATTCGTTTAACTGTTTCATAACAAATAATATATCGGCTTGATCAGGATCATCAATCAATTGATAATGTTTATCATTTAAATATTGTGTAACGAGTTCATGATCTGTATAAACTTTCCAAACACGGTCCTGATCGATTTTGGTTGAGTCATTCATAAGAATCTGCTTTTTATCATACAAATCATGTTGATGACATTTTTCAAATATGTCAAGACTATTTTGAAGCTTTTGATTGAATAATTCTGAACTATTTTCTATCGTTAAATGTCGAAGAAACGTTTTACGAGCATGTAAATGTTTCCATGGTAATAATCGAATACTTCGATCTAATGTTTCATTATTATCGTAGACAAAATTACGGAAAATTTCTGTATACGGCTGATCAATACGAACAATTGGATAGAATATTGAAAACATTGTTTGACTGGGTCCAAAGAAAAATGATGTACAACAAACATTAGCATTTGTATTTGAATGGCGAATTGATGAACCCAATTCATCCATTATATACCTATGTAAAAACGAAACGTTAGATTTATTAAAAGAATATTAGTAGAAACAAGGAACTAGTGAGATTCTTATCATAGTAAAGTAAATTGGTTGGTCATGGAAAGGTTGAAAGAAAAAATATTGATGAAAGCGATATTTCCAAGAAATACAAACTCTATAATCGTTTCTTATTATTTGTCTCATGATTCTGTGAAGAAAATATCTGATAAAAACAAGCTAAAATAGACTTAAACATAGTATTCAACGACTGAAATGAGGTTGTACTTACTACAAATTGCTCATCTTCATCTAATGAGAATTACGGATCGTCTCCGATTTTTTTTTAAGTCAATATATGGGGAGAGCGAAAATTGGTCGAACGAAAATTGATCGCCGATAATTGGTCGATACGAAAATTGGTCGAAAATTTTGTAATAGAAAAGCAAAAGCTTTTTCTTAAAGGGAAACTCTAAGTCCGAAGTGTATCTTGAGGGTGATGGTGTGGGTGAGGGCGAGGATGAGGGTGTAGGTGCGGCTGAGGTGGTCACCGTGTTCTCAAAACAGGTAACGTTACTAAAATAATTAGAAGGTCTTCTTCTAAAGTTCTAAACTACTTTTCCTTTATTATGCATGCCTAATTTATTTGTCCGAATCACTATTTTCCTCTAATATTAACATGATATTGCAATTAGTGCTAGTTTCAGCTTTACACTACAAAGTTCTGGCTGCTTTTTAAAGAAAAAGCTTTTGTTCTTCTATTACAAAATTTTCGACCAATTTTCGTATCGACCAATTATCGGCGACTAATTTTCGTTCGACCAATTTTCATTCGACCAATTTTCGTAGACCCCAATATATGTGATCGAAAACTTACCAATACGGTTCGTATGTTTCTTCACAATCTCGTTGTGTTTCAACTTGCGTTGATGTTAATGTATATGTTTGATTATATTTCCACATACGTTGTAGAATAAGTTCAATACCATCTTCTTTTGTTTCTGCATCAATATTCATTAATGATGCCATACGCTCATATAAAGCCGGTATCGTCTTGAGATTATTTCGTGCATCTTTTATTCTATATGTCCAAGCATGATCAATAAGAAATATAGCATTTTCATCATTATGCGGATCTAGAACAACATCTTCTAATGTCGATACATAATACCGACGTTCAGCATTATAGGTTCCTTCTAATTCTTCATCGTCGTCATCAGCTGGACAAAGTTGAAAATATGATCCACTATCGAATATTTCATTGTGCATTTTTTCATATAAACGTCGATAGAAATGTTTTGGGATATTGTTGACTACAAGTTGAAATTCGTGCGTTTGAAGAAAACGTTCATATTCATCGTTATCCGCCATGATCTATAAAGAATTCATTCTCAATGTATAAATCTTTTCTATTTTTAGTATTGTTCTTTTTCTTTTCTCATTTACAACACAGATAATCGAAATAAACATTAATAACAACAATGAAAAAGAAAAATTCTCATGTATGCACACGCACAAAATATTTAATAAAAAAAGGGAAAAAATGATAAAAAGCAGCGTGCATATAACTGACTTGTTGAGTTTTTGTCTATTGAATTTGAATAGAATATTAGGATCAGGAGAAAAAAAGAGACGAAGAAATTTGAATATCATCATTAACACAACAATTAGAAGCCAAGTGAGAACAAAAAAGTCTATTGTAATCCTATCTTGTTTATATACTCTTCAAAGAACTGTTAGGAAAAAGAAAATCAAAAAAGTAGATCAGTAGTTGTGGACATCGAACTCCATTGAATATTGTTTCCGGAATCAAATGCTGATTTGTGTTGCTTTAAAATAGAATGATTTGAAAGAGGTTTCGCGGGCGTATCTGAAGATGGCACTAGTTTCTGTCGAGCTAGTATTGAATAGGAATTTGTTGAAGATAAAATATCTGACGATTTCGATATTGTTACAGAACCATGTTGAGTTCCTAATTCATATTGATCGAGATGGGTCGGACGGAATGTATGTAATGTGCCTATCGAGAAAAACAAAATGATATTTATTATTATTATTATCATTATTAATAAATGTACCAATAAAATATAATTGTGATTGAATCTAATTTTAAAAATTGTTTTCTTTTGAACAGATTATTTCAAGAAAGCAGTTTAGTTCTATAGGAAGAGGCCACCAGAAGTGTTCAAGATACAGAAATTTGACCGTTAGAAAGATTTCCCTTGATTTCAACAGAAGAAACTAGTTCTGTATTTGATCTATTTGTTGTATAATCTCGAGATAATGCATATTGTAATCAGTGATACTTGATCTATGTCATAAACATGAATGTATATTAAGGCCTACTTTTACTTTCACCTTCACCTTCACACTTAACACCTAAATACTAAACTAATACGTATAATAGTGATCATAAATGGTATTAAGTATATTCGTTCTTCGACATGATATAATTATTCTACTACTAGCTGTCCTCTAATACGTGTGTCAGAAACGATTATTCTGTATTTCCTTCGATTAGACGTATATACCAATATAAAAATTGGTTTAGCAAAAATCTCTATTTGATTTACTCACATCTCTTAATACCTACTTGAATAATAGTGAAATTCTATACATAAACTCAACAATCAAAAATATTTAAACATGGCGTGTGCTCGTGTAGTATTAACCTGATTGACACGATTATCGATCAAATACGAATCTTAATATTCAATAAAAATGAATATAGAACTAATCTAATGATGTTTCTTTTTAGGTTCGACTGTAGAGATTACCCCAAAAAGAAAGTAGATCATCATTATAATGATGAAACGAAAGTTAAATCACCTATCAAATTTCATCAGTATCTTTTGATATCTATAGAAAATTGCTTACCTTTTGGCTTTAGTGGCTTTTCAGCGAGATTATTTGTATTAAATTCAGCATTGATTCGTGCTAATCGTTCAAGTTCATCATCATCAACATCATCGACATTGTTATTATTATCGATGGATTCATCTTCTATACTATTGATTTTCTTTCCCAGTGTATAATTTTTAATTACATTATGATTATGATTATGATTATTATTATTATTATTATTATCACTATTATTACTAACGCAATGGAGATTATCAACAATCTCCATTTGATTTTCCTCATCAGAACCATCATCAATATGTTCAGCCATAACAACTTCAAACGAAGGATATTCGAAAGTATCAACATCATCAATAAATTGTACTCGAGTATTCTAAATTAAATGATGAACGAAAAAAACGTCTAATGAAAATATATTTATAAATTGAAAAGCTAACCTTTTTAGCTCCTGAATAAATTGATGATTTAGCTAATTTAATGTTTCCACCAATAATATCAGGTGGATGAAGTAAATCAAGCGAGTTCGTCAGAGATCCTTGTTCTTCTTTGATATTCATTTCCAGCGATGATGATGATGATGATACTGATGATGATGATGATGGTGGTGGTGGTGGTGGTGGTGGTGGTGTTATTGTATCTGGTAATGATGAATTTGTATTTCCATTTAATTTATTTCCACCATAATATGTTACGGCTTTCGCTAGATTAATAACTGATCGAGATATGGGCATTGCTAATGGTGTATTAATAATATCTGTTTGATTATCTTTTTTCTCTTCATTTACAGTACGTGTATGATGATGATGAACAACAGGTTTAGTTAAAATATTTGTTGATGAAGAGTTTATTTGACAGAAAGGTTTTTTTATATTCATCAAATTTTCATTTGTTTTTTGCATATTTGTACGATTAAATAAAGCTAAACGGCTTTTAAAATCTAACGGTTGACAATCAACTGTTTCTGATACTAATTTTGATGGGAGTAAAAGATTTGGACGCGAATTATTCAATAGATTTGCTGAACATTCATCGACAATAACACTTAATGGAATGTTTTCATGTGAAACTGTATGGCGACTTGTAGTAGATATTTTTTTTTCTTTATTTACAGTTTGATTATTAACAGACAGATTTTCATTATGAACTTGTTCATTGGAAGTTTTATTTGTTTCAGCCGGTGGTGTATGAGATATAACTAGGTCAGGATAGGATGATGCAACAAGTAATGATAATGTAGTTGATGATAATGGGAGCGTAGGTCCAGGTATAGTTGTTCGTCGTTGTCGCCATGCCATATCATTTGGTGATATACTACGTGAACGTGTCGGACTCGGAATATCACGATTTTGACTACTCATACGAGAACCCGTAGGTACTGATGCATTCATAATTTTATCAGCATCGTAACGACTTAAACGGATTTGTCGTTCGAACATATTTTTAACGGTGGTCACCGTACCTAAAATTAAAAAGTAAAAGTAAAAGTAAAATACTAGTACATTGAGCTTAGAGATTTTTCGGGAATTTATGAGGCTCGTGACTGATTTGAATATGTCTAAGATATAATCTTTTCATTGTGTTATGTTCTATCTAGTATTGAAGCTAAATTTCTTAGTTATGTGACTCAAGGGAAACAACAGAAAAGATCAGGAAAAGTTTTTTTTTCTAATATTATTTTCTTTTTTTATGTAAAAGATATATTTGATCAACAAATATGTTATTTGACTTCCTGTTACGTAGGTGCACGTTGTTATCGAGAATTAAAGGCCATTGCCAAGCATAGTATCATAAAACAAAATGAGAATTACTGAACAAACTGATATCTTCTCCATGCGTAAGATCCTATGAAACTGGTTGAAGCTCGAGAGATATTCATTATGTCATGTTCTTCTTTTTGAATCATTGCTTCTCTATTGATTTTCTTACAATTGCGCAACTATTCATGAAGCACTTATCCCAGATGAAAAATTCAATAATAGAGCAATAACTAATTAACTAGAGCTCATGAGGATGAAGCCTTCGAGAATTTGCCAAGTATATTTGTCTCATCCTTCCTATCTTCTATAGACAAATTATCAATAATTTTAAGATAAAAACATACCAGGTTTAGGTGCTTCATCGACATGTAATTCAGTATATGATTGCCGATGTGCTAATGTTTTCTGCGAAGCACGTAATTTTCCATCATCATGAATATCATCATTTTGATTACTATTCTTTGTTGTATCTACAATAATTACATCTTGTTTTGATTGTAGATACGAAGTAAATTGTTCAGGTGCAACGCTGTGACCAGATAAATAATTAATTGAATTATTATGATTTGTTAAATTATCCTGACTACGCGATAAACGTGTGGTACGTTTTAATGGTGATGTGAATGTTTTTGATTGAAGTAGATTTTCGTTCGAAGCTATATGTGACGATTGTTTTAATAATGAATGACGTACTATTGTCGAATTATTATTATTATTAGTATTATTATTATTATTATTATTATTGTTATTGTTATTTAATACATATGATTCATTTACTTTATCCAGTAAACGTTGTTTCATAGAATTAACAACACCAAATGGTACATGATCAGTTGGTTGATCATGTTCATTTAATGGATTTGCTATAGAACGATTTTGTTGTGTTTGAGATGGATTTCCATTATTAATACGACGATTTGTTGTATTAGAAAAATAAGTATGATGATGATGATGATTATTATTATTACCTGTGAACGAAGGTACTAGCACAGACATAGCTGACGATCAAAATCATGAACACATATAGTCGGTTTTTTTATATAATCTGAAATTAAAAAAATAATGAATTATTTACGAAATATGATCAATGGACAAAAATAAAATAATGAAAGAAGGATATTTTATTTCAATTGAATTTCACTTCTAAGACGTTCAATAAGATCATTTTGATTATCATCTGTTATTGATATGCTTAAAACTTTATCGCGTTGTTTATGTCCATGAATAATTTCTAATTGATTTGAAGGAATTTTTAATATACTTTTAATATAACTAATTAATTCATGGTTCGCCTTTCCGTCTTGTGCATCAGCAGCTATATCCATGCGTATTTCATTATTCGAATTTATTTCACGTATAGCGTTTGTTTTTGCATTTGGACGCACATGAATATTTAGTAAAAGATTAGCTGTTTTATTAACAATTGTTTTTTTCGACATCCAAAATGAAAGAATATAAATTAATGATCTATAAAGGCAAAAGTGAATGTTCTTTCTTTATTTAAACTCGACAAATATACTATAGTTAATCCAAGCAATCATTATCAACAATATCATTGAAAGTATCCCACTCTTTTCTCTCTTTTTCTTCTTCGTTCGAGTAAACAATTTGAAACTCGTTAAACATGTACATGCCTACCTATATACGCTTACTTACTAAACAATTGTATACGTACGCCTATATTCAATTTCGATTGCGACATCATAATGCTTTTCGTCTCTTTTTTTTCAATCACAAGTATATACATACATATACATCTTTTTAAGTTGGCGTAGAGTTAAATTGCACGCAAGACGAAGACGAAGACGAAGAAGAAGAAAAAGCATGTAGTCTAGATGACATTCTTATTGCAGAGAAAAGAAAATTTATTTCCACTTGACAATGAATGGTGTGATGAAAAGAAAGAAGAAGGATAAGAATAAAAAGAAATATATACGAAGACCTGTATGTTACTTAGTGCTGCTATTATAGTGGTCATGTCACTGGTCTAAAATAATTCACAGGAGTAGACAACACTACGTGTGCATATGCATCGGTTTATTTGTCTATGTAAATATGTGTGCCTTTCGCTTTTTTCGTGTATATAGACTGTCGTCAAACAACAGGCTGCATCGGAATAAAATGTCTCGTATATGCCTTAGTGCTATTTCTTGCTTTCTCTGTCGACCGCTCTCTCTCTCTGTCTCTCTCATATCTACTAGTAATACGATGAATTTCCCTATCAATTACATTTTTTTTAAAGTTATTTTGACTTCAAATAGAAATATGAAAGCCGACTCATTAATCAGATCAATTATTTTTCTTTCTATGAATAGTCGAGTAATTTAGAGAAGAAAAAAATGAAATATATGTATAGGAATAATTCAACTAATTTTACATTCAATATTATCATGAACGTTTTTCGACTCATGATTAACCAATGCACTATTATTTGATGATGTATTCTTATGTTTATTATTCAATTGATTGTTCAGTGTCGATGAAAGACTAGATGAATTGAATGATTGTGTTTTTGTTTTACGATTACGCAATTCATTCAATAATGGAGAAGACGATGTATAACTATTTTTGAGATGTGATGAAGACGAAAGAGAACGATGACGACGAACAGATGCTAGTTTTGGTCTAGATCGATTAGTTTTTTCTAAATCAACATTAGTCATTTGATAAGAATAAGTATCAGGTGAATGTATCAGATGACTTCGTTCATATATATTACGTGCATCATTCGTCCATCTTTGTATAAATTCATGATGAAACCGTTTTATTTTACGATGATTCGATAGACTTTGGTCTGGAATATTTTCTTTGGGCGATGAAACAATTTTTTTTGTCTGCCGTGATCTATTGGATTTTACTGGTGCATAATGACGATAAATTGGTCTAAGTAATGTCGAATCATTTTCATTAGACTTGATTTCGATTGAATTACTAACAAAATACAAATTATTTTGTAATAGGTTAATAAATTTGAAAGCGATCTTGTATTAAGGATGTCTAATTCACGATGGGTTTCCTTCAATTCGACGAATTCGCTTGCGCGATTGATTAAAAAGAAAAAAATTTTCTTTACAAATTCCGTATGTGAATGATCGCATCCTCTCTTGTATCCGCTTTCGGTCAACTCTTTCCTCCGTCGATATCCGGGTAAGGCCAACCTCTCTATGTCACGTTTATTTTGACTCCTCCCTTCTCCGTGTCTATTTTGAGCTGAACTGGCCCCTTGTTTCTTCTGCCCATGTCATTCAAGGATGCACCCAAAGGATTTCATAGCTATTAAAAATTCAAAAGAAAAAACTAATCAAATGTAAAACGCTGAATTATTTCTCGTCTCGTGCGCAATGATGAGTAATTAAGTGATAGTCGATTTTAAAAGTTCTTATCGCACACGTTTTTCTAAGGTGATAATTGAGTTCAAATTAAATAAGCGCCCGAAGAACTGTCGATATGTAAGATTCGACCATCCAATATTCACTCAGGGCGAAAGTCGATCTGCAATTGTGTCAATAAGAAACCTTTTATTAAATTATTGTTTGTCTTCAATATTTCCTACAGACTAAACATAACACTCGAGACACTACCTATGAACTATAGCGCGAATGGCTGTCGGCATAAAAAAAAAAGAATCTAGTTCTCAATTAATCTTAGAATAATTACAATGGGGAAATCGACTTAAAGGTCAATAAAATATTGGTGGTATGTTCGTAATTAAACATTGCATGTTGTAAAAAAAATGAAAAAGAATGCGACATTATTCAAACACAACCGATTGACTTAATCGTTTTCTGATATCAAAATGAAGATTAGACTAACACGATTGAAGTCAACATATCACAAACAGAAAAGAAATTTCTATTCGTTCAGTAGTCACATTTTTCAAGTTTTGATAAATCATAAAGAAGGTGATATCAAATGAATTATACATGCTATACTATACTAATAGATTATAATCGATAAATGGAACTTGTAGACATGAATTCTTTTCATTTCAAGTCCATTGATGAACGCATCATCAGTGTAAATGCATTAAGAAATTAAAAGCTTGTTGATTACTTAAACAGTGAACATGTCTATGAGATTACGATCGTGTATGTTCGAGGCAGAAATTTTAATTTCTTACTTCAAGTAAAGAATGAAAGCAACAATAGGTCGCATGTTCAAAAAAAGCACATGGCCATTGTTTCACTTATCACGAATGTTAATTTGCAGATATGTGATTCAGTCAAATACAACATCGCGTACAGGAATGCGGAGGGCATATTGAAAAAAAAACGATCTAATGAACATTTATCCTAGGAAATATTCACATTTTGAAATTTACAGAAATCTAATAATATTATCGAATAACGAGAATCATTGCAGAGACAAGCTCTAAAATGAGGGATTACGGGAAACATTTTAAGTAAACTATCATACACTCTTATGTAAGGTTTCATAATCAATTAGTAGAGTTCATATAAACAATAGTCTTCATACTCCTACGTAACACGTCTTATCCTTTCATGAATTGTTTATTGTTTTTTTCAACCTTTCGCCTTCAAAATGCTACGAACATTCATTTTTTGTTTAATGTTTAGGATTTAGATTCATAATTAAAAAACCGTTAACATTGAAAAATGATTCTCGGAAATGAAACTATAACTTTTCAAACCTTTCTTTGTAACTTTCATCCGACGGTATCACTTGTGGTGTATCACTTTGAACAGAATTCTTGTCATAATTTGATCGTTTATTATGTTGAGTAGCAGCTGCAATCATGGTTGTCACGTCTTGTCGACGTTGCTTGGACGTACGATTTGTATTTTTTCCGTTAAATAAAATATCATTAGTACGACGTTTTGCTATTACTGGAGCCGATGTTTGTCTACGATGAGGTGTCGCAGAATTTGATTTTGTTATTTGATTATTATTTACTTTTTGTTGTTCAGCTGCAGCAATTTTTTCATCGATTTCAGCCTTTTGTGCTAAACGTTCCTATTTTTGTAGGAAAAAAATTAATTTGCAATAGAAACTAAAACAAACGATTAATTAATATGATTTACGAGTCGACTAAGCACAATTGATAATACTGTCATAACGTCGGTAATAGGTGCAGCAAATAGAACCGTATCTTTCATTGTACTGGCACATTCCAAGCTACATATAAGTAATTTTAAATCATGTTCTAATTGTGAAAAAATAATTGATATTTCACGAAAATCTCGAAGATCACGACGAGCAATCATTTTATCGGATCGAACGGCATCGTCGAAATCTTGAATTTTTTTTTGTAATTTTTGAAATTTAGCTTTTGTCTTCGGTTCAAGTACAAGCGGCGTATTTGGATAGCGTAGTCGGCAAACACGTAATTCATTCAGTGTTGCACGAGTACGAAGACAAGCAGTGCGTAGTAATTTATTGAACATCATTAAATCGAAATTAAGTGAAAATCGAAGACTACATTCAGGTAGACAAGCATCATCACTAATTAAACCAATTTTTTGATTGCGGACTGCCAGTAATTTTTGTACACGTAAAGCATCCATTATATTTAAGCCAAAATCTAATAATTTTAATGTTGCTTCAATCAATTGATTGATTAAATCTTCGGCCTTTGAACAAGCCATTGGTAAGAAAAATAAAAATGAATTATGAAATTAACAAGAGAAGAAGACAAGAACAAAATAGAACAGATTTTCTATTAGAATATTCTCTTTTTTTTATCGAATCGTTATTGAAAAATACGAATGATTTATCATTAGAAGTCTGTTGCTGTGGAAGATTTTTCATTTTATTTCTATTATTTATCAATAAAAATAAGATCTGTTTTATTAATTGATCGTTCAAACAAATGCGCGCCATATTTAGAAGCAAAAGAAAATATCTAAAAATAACATTAAATTAAGTTCAAAGATAAGTGCACACTAACAATGGTCATTATTGTTATACAATAACGAAGGTTTAAAGCTTATACAAATAAGAAACTGCTGATTAATCGCGAACAAAGGTTTGTACGTTGAACAATTTCTAACCTACACTTTGTGTAAATTAGTTCTTACAGCGTCTATAAATCAAGTTCAAAAGCGATATCTTCTCCGTTTTTCTCTTTTCTTCTTTAGAATGGCGTACCGTCAAATAACAATAATGTCACAGCAGGCTACCAACCAGCTCAATGTTACCGTTCAAATGATTGATGCGATGTCTGGAGTGAGTGAATGAAAGAAAAAGAAAAGAAGAATGTATGGGCTGCGCGGCGCG